CCATCCATCCATCCATCCATCCATCCATCCATCCATCCATCCATCCATTCATTCATTCATATATATTTCAAATTGGTCACCGCCCATCTCATTGTGGAGTGACTCATCCAACAGGTCCAAGCCATGCAGAACTCATTTTTTAAAAACTTCTGAATCCATATTTGAAAACCTGAAATTTGCAGGACTCCTTGCCTAGCAGATCAACATAGGAAGGGTTTCCTGCAAGTAGGAAGTTTGCTTGTTTAAAAGAACTTGTTCCTTCAAAGTTCATCTTTGTCACGGAGATGGAGCACAATTCCTATCTTTTTGTGCTACTGTCCTTCTTTTCCTAAAAACGTCTACCGTAAAATGCATCCTCTAGCATTCTGACTGCCTGACCAGTTTAGGCAGTCAGCAGAACCAAGAGTCAAGGACTTCCTGGACCACAGTATTTCAAACTGCAGTTGGGGAGGAGTTACAGGTTTCCATTCTTCCCTGGACCTGAATAAGGCATCCTGCCTCTGCTAATCTAATCTGTGAAGTTTATGTTGGAAACTCATTTTCACACATACTGATTTTCCATGTAGACAGAAGTTTTCTTCCTATGAAGGAAATTAAATTATGTAACTCATTCCTATTCTCAGCAGTGGTACGGTTGGAGATATGTGTGATTCTGCAGTTCAGTGTACAATGAACATTGCAATCTTCCCCAGTCTGGTATCTGCCAGCTGGGTTGGATTGCAACACTCATAACTCCAATTCATCTGGAGAGCCCTGAACTGGAGAAGATCTGATATGGCTGGTCCTTTGTGATTAGGGTTCCATGAAATGATGAGCAGGGAATGGTCTTTAGAGATGAGAAAGACTCTACTATATCTGTCTATCTGGGACAGGAGACCTATGAGAGTGCCAGCAACCAAGTTCATACACTGCGCAGAATTATCAAGGAGAAGGAGGAAGCCTTCCGGCATCACTATACCTCGCATCCAATGGGGAGTGACCACTTGCCGCTGCCACCACCTCCAGAAGCAGAGATCAACTTCAGCGACATCTCTGAGGATGAACTCTGCCTCCCGGTCCTGCCTCCCGTGGAGGCTGCCCCTCCTCCACCCCCTCCTCCGCCACCTCTTCCCCCACCCCCTCCTCCATTACCAGGTAGGCTTCTGTTCTAGAGCTAAGAAACCAACATCTTGCAATGAGGAGGATGCCTTATTTATTTATTTATTTATTTATTTATTTATTTATTTATTTATTGTTCTTCCCTCACAGATAAGTGTCCACCAGCTCCACCACTTCCTGGCACATCTCCCTCAGTGATCCTCACGATGGGCTTATCAGGTAGATGTCAATGTCTGTTTCCCAGAATAGACCAGAGCAGGAAGATAGTGTGGCAGTTGCTGTATACTGGATCCTAGGTGCATTGGAGGGGTGGGGTTCAAGATAAATAATTTAAGTAATAATTTAGTTTCCACTTTTTAAAAAAATATGTTTCTAGCCCTTATGGGTGCTAATTTAAACTGGAAAGTCTGTGGAAAATGCCAGAAAGCCAAAAACCAACTGATAAAACTGAATTATACTGCTGGAAACCTTTGCAGAATAAATTATGTAATTTGTATGGATGGCAAAATGGCTTTTCTTGGCATCACATTTTATTGTTATGACCTTGAATTTTTAATAGTTTGAATGTCCTTGGGGAAGAGACATATTTCATTGGACTAGAATGGCAAAAACCCAAATAATTTGTTTCCATTAAAAATAAGTAGTTTAATTTTGGCTCTGGCTTCAGGTACACAACCTTAAACATGTTTCTTTGGATGTAAACTCCATCCTGTTCAAGAAAATTCATCTGTTTATTTTGAGATACAGGTTAGGCATACCATATCTGGGCTGCAAAAATCCAGATAATCACTAGGTGACAGCCAAGAGATACAGTAGACTGTAACTCTTGGCTGCCATTTTGGAGTTGTCTGGCATTTTGCAGTCCAGATATGGTATGCCTGTTACAGATCAATGGATGAATTCAGTCAGTGCTTACATATGGCCCAGGGAAAGGATTTGGTGATATGCCCAAATCACTTAGACACTTTTCTTCAGAAAATATGGCATAAGAGAAACTAACAAGTTAACCAAAACTCAACAGAAAATTGCCAGAATTCAACCCTGTTCCTCCTACTGACTTGTTGGGAATAGGCTGAGAAGTACTTTCTCTTTTCCACATAATCTTTCACTTTTCCAATGCTTTGTTTTCTGTTCTGCACCAAGCAATCCGGATTAAGAAGCCCATCAAGACCAAGTTCCGCTTGCCAGTTTTTAACTGGACAGCACTGAAGCCCAACCAGATCAGCGGCACGGTCTTCAGTGAACTGGATGATGAAAAGATCTTGGAGGTGAGGGAAACCGAGAAGTTAGTGCTGGCATGAGTAGAGATGATAAATGCATAATTTCGTAACTGATTCTCCTTCATAGTTCACAGCCTGTTGTTTCTGTTATCTGTTAGGCTATCGTGGAACTGAAGCTCTAATGCTGAGTAAAAAAATAGTCTGCTGTTCAGTTTGAGTGAGAGAAGGAAAAGTTGTCAGTCTGACTGGTAGTAGAACTACAAGTAGGATTGGGAAGATAACCCATATGACGAAAGCCAAAGCCAAAGATTAGAGGCTAAAGGAAGGGCTTAGAGTAGAGAATGGACTGAGAATAAGAACCTGGGAGAATGGCAAATAACTTCTACAGGTTGTAATCTGCCCAGAGTTGCTATTGTGAGATGGGTAGCCATATAAATTGAAGGAAGGAAGCAAGCTTGAAGATAGGCAAAAAGTATTATTGGCAGAAGGTGGGTGCTAGCAGCAATAATGGAGCAGCAAAAACAAACATTATTGCTTGATTTGAATTGTACTGAATGTTCACATTTGTCTGCTCCAATTCTGCCTACAAATGGAGCAGATAGCAGGATTCTTCGATTGCAACTTGCAACAGCCCTTGAATAGGTATGGAACCCATTTCTACCCAATCCTAGTGTGTTATTGGAGCACTTGGTTTCCAAAATATGCTGTATGATTTTAATATGTGGTATATGCCCAGAACACCAAAAATACCAAGAAGTAAAAGGCAAGCTATGACTCTTGGACTCCTCTTCCCATTTTTCCAAGGACCTTGACCTGGACAAGTTTGAGGAGCTCTTTAAGACCAAGGCACAGGGCCCCGCCATTGATCTTCTTTGCTCTAAAAACAAGGCATCGCACAAAGCAGTCAACAAAGTGACCCTGTTGGAGGCCAACCGGGCCAAGAACCTTGCCATCACGTTGCGTAAGGCAGGCAGGACCACAGAGGAGATCTGCAAAGCCATCCACACGTGAGCATCCCTCTGTGGTGCTTTTCCTAACCACCAGCCTTTGGTTTTCCTTCTTGAGAGGCAGCCTTTTTCTCTGTCTAGGATTGTATTTCTGCAGGCCTAGTCAGTAGGGGGCCATGTCATGTGCAAATAGCAGGTCAGGCAGGAGGAAGAGTAGGTGATCCTAAAGCAAAAAAATAGGTGGGGTGCTTTTCTCTTTCTTTCTGATACACTCTTTTTTCCTTATCTCTCTAACAACCACTTTCTTCCTCACACAGCTGACTGTCAAGATGAAGACAGATCACTCTTTCCTTAACTAGGGCTTTGGAAATTAAGTTACAGGTTACATGGAGTTAGAGTGGGTAGAGGTTGCCCACTCCTATGTGAGAGCATCACTGAATGTTGAGAGAGTATCTCCCTCTGCAGCCTTTGCCCATCAGCACCCAGATGCTCCATCTCTGATAGAGGGACTTTCTTCATTGTGTCTTCTTTTAGGTTTGACCTGAAGACATTACCGGTGGACTTTGTGGAGTGCCTCATGCGCTTTCTGCCAACAGAGAATGAGGTCAAACTGCTACGCCAGTATGAGAAGGAGCGGAAGCCAGTGGAGGAATTGTCGGATGAGGACCGCTTCATGCTGCACTTCAGCAAAGTGGAGCGCCTGACCCAGCGCATGGCCATTATGGCTTTCCTGGGCAACTTCAGCGAAAACATCCAGATGCTCATGCCGGTATGGGACGTCTCCCCTCTGTGGGAGCCAGAACTCTTGAGTAGCCCAAAGAGACAAGTTATGTCTTGTTTTGGAGCTGGTACAATTGCAATGATATGGCCTTAAGCGGTACCAAGTTTGAGGGGACTCTTTTCTGAGTAAATGTGCATAGGATGGGACAGGATGTGCTCGAGGTTGATCTTTCTATTTCCTCTGCTCCAGGAGGCAAGTTGTGTGCCTATAATGACACTATGGCATATAGTGATAATGTGGAATGTCATAGAATGATAATTCTGCTGTCCTTTTAAAAATCTGTACTTTACGGGCTGGGCTGCCTTGCAAGACTGGGGACACAAGCCGGTGGGGATAGTTCTAGAGTAGATTACAAGTTTTGATTGCCTCAGGTGCAACTTGAGATCTTCAGATCTAGGAAAGGCTGAGAAAAACCTTATCCTTGAGATCACACAGAATTGTTGTCTAGGGATGGAGAAGGCATGGGGGTAGGCGGTCCATTGATTGTGTTCACTCAGTTCTCATGCTTTCTTGATGCGCTCAAAGAGATCTTGTTCCAGTGAGGTGTGGTTCTACTTATGTTCCCAAATGATCAACTTTTCTCCCCTGTACAAATCTGTGTACAGTATCCATCATTCTTCCTTCCTACTAGTTGCATTGACCTTTCCTCAGGGAAGGATCCCAAGCAATTAAAAACAAGACAATAACAGTTTAAATCATGCCCAAATTTCTGTATCTGCCAAAGGAATTTACTCCTCTACAAAATACAAGAAGTATTCAGGTGCTATACCAACAATAATACTATTATGACCTTTTGGTTTTTGCCTCTTATAGCAACTCAGTGCCATTATTGCTGCCTCGGCGTCCGTCAAATCGTCACAGAAGCTCAAGCGAATGCTAGAGGTAGGTCAGTGGGCTGGCATGAATGTACTTAACAATGGAAAGTTGGTAAAAGCCACCATTTACTTCACAGACTCTTTATTTTTGGAATGCTAGAATTCAACCCTGATGAAGTAAAGAAGCTAACAGAAGAGAGCCTCTGAGTCTGTGAAAGGTTTACCTCCTTTTACTGCTCAGAAGCTGTAAGCCAGTGTTGTCCAAACTTGGCCACTTTAAGATGAGTGGACTTCAACATGGCTGGCTGGGG